TGTAATTCAGGCTGACCTTGATTCATTATCTAGTCCAGGCTGGTTTTGAACTTGTGGCGATCCTCCTGCCTCAGCCTCCTATGTTAACAACTCAGGTCAAGCTGGGCTTGGTGGCACGTGCCTGTGATCCCAGCACTTGGGAGACTGAGGTAGGAGGATGGCTGTGAGTTCAAGGCTAGCCTGAGCTATATAGTGAGTTCAAAGCCAGCCTGAACTATATATATAGTGAGACCCTGTCTGAAAAAAACAAAATGAGGAAAAGTTGCTAAAATAGTGTGGTAAACATATATACACTCCTAACGTTTGGCACATTTACTTCAAATATATACGCACCTATAGCGTACATTTCTGAGCCATTTGGGATTTAGTTGTGCTCATCTTTACACTTCACCCCTAAATTTTCCACATGTATTCAGTAGGATGTATATTCCTCTGCACAGCCACACAATAGTATAAGTTTGCTTTTAGAGATGGGCCTTTTGGCACACACCTATAATCAGCACTCTGGGAGGCTGAGACAGGAGGACTGCAAGTTCAAGACCCTGTCTCAAAAAAAAGTAAGATACCTAGGGACATAGCTCAGTGCTAAGGTTTAGTTTCCAGCCCTCCTCCCAAAAAGATCGCTCTGGGGAAATTTTTGTTTGTTTCAGTGTCTTGCTGTGTAGTGCAGCCTGGCTCTGAACTTGTTTAGCTCAGGCAGGTCTCAAACTCATGGCGATCCTCCTGCTTCAGCTTCCTGACTGCTGGGATTATAGGCGGGCACCACCATACCCAGAAGGACATTTTAAAAAATACTATGAAATATATGTTTATGTGTAACACTTTGTGAGTGGCCCAGTTTGACCTTCATGGCTGCATTCTTCCCAGTCATTGTGTATTATAGTTGCTGTGCTCCTTGTCTTTCCTTGATCTGGACTTGTGTCTGCCAGAAGTGTTGTAGGACACTATCAGTGAAGTTGGGCCAGTTCATTTCCAGAAAGTCCCTTAGAATTTCCTTTGATTTGGCCCATGCAAAGCATAGTATCTAGGATTTGGATGAGGCTGCATGTTAGGGTATCAGTCATGCCGGGGCCACTGTCAATTAGTCCCATGATCCCATGATCAATTAGTCCCATGATCCTTTACTGAGGTGATCACCAGGTTTTCGTCACTGTAAAAGATAATTTCCTCCTTATGATTAGTGAGTTATCTTACTGATTCTTTACCCTGGAGTCTGAAGCTTGTTCCTTGCAGCTTTGGCCTGGAGGAGTGAGGCCTAGTGTGGACAGAGTGGGTCTGGTTGTTGTAGCTGGAAATGGAAGGGTGGACGTAAGTCAGAGACAACTTTCCCACAGGTGTCTTGGGTGACAGCTAGGCCCTTCCCCATGCCCTGAGGCTGACCCCAAGTCTGCTGTGCAGGTTTCCTTCCCACTTGCACATTGGTTTAACACATGCTTAGTGGCCTTTGTCCCGGGCACCATCCTCAAGTACCATGCTAACCCCTTAGACTCAGGGAGATAAGGAGGACACTGTCCCTGCCTGAATAAGCTTGTAGTCCATCAAATCAGAGAGGCCAGAAAGTAGAAGGACATCACCCACACGTGTGTGAAATACATGAAAGGGAGAAAGGGTGTGGAAACAGGATGAGACCTAGCCCTGTGGAGGGCTGGCATAGGAGAGGAGAGGGAGCCAGGGGAACTAGGAGTATTTAGGTACCAGAAGGTAGCCAAGGTGACTGGGGTCTGTGGAGGTCAGGGCCCCACAGGTGAAGACACAGTAGACTGAGCCAGATCATGGGAGGCTTCAGGGCCAGCATGTAGTGTGGGGGTGGGGGGCTGTACTTAGGCTCCTGGTAGCAGATCCTCCTTTCAGGGAGGCACTGGACGGCAAATGGCATTTTGTGGCAGCTTTAACTGAGATCTGCAGGGGCTGTCTTCATGGCTGGTCTGAGAGGGTTTTGTACCCAGAGGAACCGGTGTGATACCAGCACTCACTCGGTGGCTAGTGCAGGATGAGGTTGGGTGCCACTGATCTAGTGGAACTCTGTGCCTTCCAGTGAGCTCTGTCCTCATGGATGAGCCCTGGGACACATGCCTTTCCTGTTGCAGGGCACACCTGTGTTCATTGAGTGAACTCTTGAGAGGTTGTGTTGTCATGAGGGTCTCGTTACCCAGCAGCAAGGGTGGGTGGATGTGGAACAGAGGGACACTTTGGACAAGGCCTACAGGGTGTCTTGGGTGGGGAGTGCCACAGAGGATGTGTGTGGTATGTGCCAGGGCCAGCAATGCAGCGGTAACATGACCAGGGCTGGCTGCAGTGGGTATGTGCTGTGGAGCGAGCCATGTGGGGAGGAGGATTTTCCTGGCTGCACCCTGCATGCTCAAGCTGTGTCTTCCATGCCCTAGTTTAACACAGTCTTGAGGAGAGCACTGAGTGTCACAGACTGGTTATAATTATGTCTCCCTGTTCTCCTAGCAGCTGTAAAATACATACTATTCTCCAGGGAAACCTTACCAACAGCATTCACTGCCATGATGCCTGAACAATAAGGAGTTGCCTTCCAACCCAAACATTGTTAGGCTTTGCCCCTGTTCAGGCTCTGGCGGTGCTATTGTTTGCAACTTACACGCTATGTTCTTGGCTCCCTTCCTCTGGAGTTTAGTTTACTCCCTGTGCCTCTTTCTGATAAGCTATCCACTTTGTTGAACTTGGTATGTAAGCGTCCAAAGGAGCATAGTGTGGGGCCTACCCATTCTTTTAGAAAATCGGAATCCTAGACCCTGCTACTGCAAGACCGTGAGCAGCAAGGGCTCTAGGCCATGGGTTTCAAGAATATTCCAGTTCTTTAGCAGCCCAGTGCCTGTCCTCCACCCCATGCTGGGGAGGAGGTGGAAGAGCCTGCTTCCCCCCATGGCATCCCCCTGGCCAAGGTGCAGTGAGCTCTCTCCCCTAGACCCTGAGTTTGTAGCCCTAAGTGAGGCCAGAGGAGAATCTTGCAGAAACGGCTCCTCTGGTCCCAGGGAGCCTGAGAGCAGGGGCACTGCCTGCACCCAGACCCAGAAAACAGGCTTGCCCTATGGGTGGGAGGCCAAGCCTCACTGCCCTGAGCACTCAAACCCAGCAGGAAGAGCTGTGATAAAGACAAGGAATGCAGAGACGGTTAAAGCAGAGCTGTCCTTTGCGTGACTTCACAGGTGAAGACCATGTTTGAAGTTGGGCAGGTGCGTGACTTGTCTGACAGGTTTGAGGCTGTTAGTGATTTAGAACTCATGAACATTCAGTCAGCTTTTACACACTGCTATCAAGGCCTCCTAATTAGTTCTGATAATATTGCGTGTCTGAAGCAAGCCATAAAAATGGCAGTTTTAATCGGTTGTTGACATGCAAGGTCAGGCTGTAACCTCGAGCATCCTGCCAGCTGGATGGGCCATCAGCAACTGACATTTCAGAGAGCAGTAGAAGAGACTCCGTCCTTCTGGTGATGCTGTTTGTTGCCTTGGTCCCAAACAGAACTAGACACAGGCAGATAGAAATACTCAGCCAAGAGGATAGTGTATTCTGACACATTTGCAGTTTGTATTATTGTCTTTATTCGGACACAGGCCTTGGTGCTGGAGGATTGGTCTCTGTCCTTGGCTTCCTAGTGCCAAAACATGCAGCCATCCCTCTTGCTGTGCGATGCTCGTAGTGATGCAGGGGGCTGCATAGCTGATAGACGTGTTGTCCTGCATGACCCGTAGGCGAGGCCGGTTTTCCTCTCTGGGGCCTGGAAGAGTGGGATGGTGATTCATGTACTGAAAACTTCACTGTGGATTTGGGCCTGTTCCAGATCAGTACAAGGTTTGCAACACTGATAGGTTTGTGCTCTGGATGCTGAGCACTCAGCTGTGGATCACAGTAGTGGGAGCAAGTGGAGGAGGTGTTTATGGTTCATTGAAGCAGAGGACCTAAAATAATGTCTGATCCCCCCAGACAGAAGCAGGCTCACGCATTCTCACAAGACCTGTTCCAGAGAAGTTGTGCATTGTCCCCTGTCAGACAGCAGAGCTGTGGGGTCTCTGGCAGGGGATCTGCTCCTCAGGGCTGGCTCAGAGGCTTTGGCATTTGTAAGATGACATTGGCATCCTGGAGGGAAGGAGACTTGACTGTTCAGAAAGAACGGCCTGTGCAGGTTGCAGCTCAGAGTTTGTGGTTTCTCTCCCGTCGTGCATTTCTTGAGATGGCTCTGAGGTATCCTTACGAGCTGGAACTGAGGCACATGGCAAAGATGTGGTCTTCCTCAGTACAGCAGCTGCTGCTGAGTCCTTCTGGTACTGTGCTTCAGTGACAGATCCTCCACCCCCTTTGTGGAGTTGTTGTGGTGGATAAAAACTGTTGGGGTTTTCTAAGTAGCTTAAAGCAAATCATAGATTACTTGTGCCACTTTTCTTTCCTGTGGCAAATTGGGTCACACTCACCCCACTGGGGAAATGGGAAATTATCTGAGAAAACAAGTTGTTGGCTGAACTTGCTTAGCAAAGAGGAATGGTTGAGTAGTAGAAAGAGAGAGGAAGTGGGGAGTAGAGAAGCAGCAGGAGGCTTCCTGCCTGGAAATTGATGAGAAAGCAAGGGTGGGGGGGTCCCCTAGTGTCTGCCCCACCTCTGGGAAAGATGGGCCTGCAGGTAGGGACAGCACCGTTCCTAGTGTCGGGAAAGTGTGTTCTCTTTGTGGGATGAACAGGTTACTGTCACATGCTGGTGACACCAAACTCGGCACAGTGAATTTGGCCTCCATGGTTTGAAGCTAAACTACTTGGAAGGATAGGTCTGTCCTGCTCCGTGGTGATCTGGACCAAGCTGTTCCTGAGCTCACCATCTACTACTTGAACTCTAGGGTCTGTGGAGCATCTCAGTTCCTGTGAGCAAGGCAGGGAAACGGTGGGCCAGTGAGGGTTGGTCTTGGGGATGGAGTAACTCTCATTTGTGAACCTGGTTTCCCCAGTCACTCTCTCCTTCTCTCTTCCCTTCCTTTGGAACGGCAGACTCTGGCCTGGTGGTCCCAAGTGTTTCCTATGAGCTGCATAAAAAGCTGTTATCTGTGGCAGAGAGGCATGGGCTGACCCTGGAGCGGAGGCTGGAGATGACAGGTGTATGTGCCAGTCAGATGGCGCTGACCCTCCTGGGAGGACCCAACAGGTGAGTGCTTTGAGACTGGCAGGGTGAAGGTGCCCGGTCACCCCACAGTGCCTCCTGTCAGGTGTCTGTGTTTGCCCTGAAACCAGCTGCTGGAAGTCTTCACTCTCCTCTTCCCTTCTTTTTCTGACGGCAGCTGTCTTGAGGTTCCTGCTGACTCAGAGGCTTGCCTTCTAGAAGGCTTCAGGGCCTGGCCTGGGGACTGACTGTTCACTGCCAGTGTCTGGGATGCCAGTCAGCCCTAAGTGTCACCCTGGAGAACCTCTAGAGCCATCCTGGCAGTTGGCATGGAAGCTGGGGCTTGGTGCCTTCCCACATGCCCTTGCTACCCTGTGCTTTATTTATTGTGATACTACAATAAATACTGAATACTTTTGATACCAAGTACCAGATCTGTGCTTAGTACTGGAGGTGCAAAGAGCAAGACACCACTGTTGCCCACCACGGCCCCAGACGATCTCGAGAGGACAGTGCTGGGTGGAGGAAGCCACATTCCCAGAAGTTGCAGGCTGGGCTTGGGCAGAGGCATCTCCTGCTTCTGAAGCAGTCTTGGTCACAGTGGCCTTGGTTCAGGTGGATGTGAGGTTTCCCTACGAGCCCCCACTGCTACCCAGTAGAGGGGAGTGGCTATTACGCCTGTCCTTTTGGGCCCACTTCTGGCTGTGCTGGCTCCTAGGCAGGGGCAGCTCCTGTAAGCAGCTGCATGCAGTGCTCTTTGGAGGTCTGCCTGGGTGCCATCTGCCTCAGTGGGCCCCTTGGGATGTCAGGTGCCAGCTAAGGTCTTTCACCCAGCAGTTGGGGAGCTGAGCTTGGTCATTTGAGCCCAGGAGTTCAATCCCAACCTGGACAGCCTTGTCTAAAAAGCAAAACATACCCAGAAACAGCAGTTTGGGGACAATAACCAGGCCACATGCCTCCCTAGCAGGCCACTGGGGGCTGGCTAACCCCTGCCCATCTTCTCAGTCTGAGCTTTCAGAGGTCTCCTCGTCTTTTGCCGCCGCCTCTGGCTCAGCTTGAAGTAGATCCATAGCAGTCCTGAAGCTTGATGCGTGCTGGCTGCTGTGTGGCTTTGCACAGCACTTTTACATGGCGGAACTTCCTCTGCTCCCTGTAGGGTCACTTCAGGATACAGATTGCAGCATGTATTGAGATGCGCACGCAGCAGCTCAGGGAGCTGCAGTGCTGCCTGGTAACCCTGCTGGTCTTGTTCCAGTGCTGTGTGCCCCATCTGCAGCTGACCATATGGGTGCTGGCTCGGCTTTCATTCTGGTGAGGGGGGAGGGTGAGGAGAGCGCCCACGGGGGCTGGATGGTGGGTCCGATGCCACAGCACTCCAAGGCTTCTGAGTGAAGGGAGAAACTCTCACCGTGGTTCCTCGAGATGCAGAAATGATGGAGAGATTGAATGGTTTGGTCTGTGTTGCTCATTTCCTCAAAATTTATTTGGAAAAAGAGGTCATGACGCTCTTCTGTGGCTTGCTGACATCTGTTGTCTTTTTGCCTTTGGAAGACTAGGCTTGTCACTGTCCCCCCAAGTAGGGACCTGGGCCTTCCTGCCCTAGCAGCCAGCTGTGTGGCTGGGAGCCAGGCAGTTCCAGGCCTCCTGACTGGTGGCTGCTTTGAAACCAGAGGCTCTCAGTTCTGAGGAACAGGAGACGAGGTGGCTGCTTCATCCCAGGTAGCGCCACCTAGATGGTCAAAATCAGCTGAGCAGATGGTGTGACAGAACCACCAGGATGTGTGTGTCCTTTGTGTACACGGCGTGCCGTGAAGCCGGTGCTGGTGACAGCTTCAGCTTCTCCTGAGAGCTCACTAGCAGCTGAGTAAGAGAATAGAGATTGGCAGGAGCAATTTAGGACTGTGCTAAAGTGTGCTTGATCGTTCCTTGGGAGCTGAGAAGAGAGGAGTTGGTGTGGCCAGAGTAGCAAGCTTTAAGCTGGACCTCAGAAAACGATGGGGGATTTGACAAGGGAAGGCCTGCTGGCAGGAGGTGTGGTTTGAGCCCGCGCAGGGAGAAGAACCTTACTAGTCTAGTGCAGGTGAGAGTGAGGGACAGTGCTGCTGGTGTGCAGTGACATTAGGAGCACAAGGAAGACTGTGGAGGTGGAGAAGTCACTTTGCCAAGTGAAGCTTGTCCCTAAAGGGTCACATAGGAGGAACCATCAGCAAGGTTCTGGCAGCAGCGTTGCACATAGTGGGCTCCCTGGTGGCAACCTCACTGTGAAGGGACACTGCAGTGGGGGTAGTGGGAGTGGCACCCCAGGGCCCTGGCCCGCTGGATCTAGACTTTGTGAGCCCAGAACTCAGTGAGAGCAGAGGGGCAGCTTGCCTAATAGGCACGCGAGGATCGGCCAGTCTGCAGCCAGTGACTGCGTCTCGCTCTGTGTTCCAGGCTGAACCCCAAGAACGTTCACCAGAGGCCCACTGTGGCCCTGCTGTGTGGGCCCCATGTGCAGGGGGCCCAGGGCATCAGCTGCGGGAGGCACCTGGCCAACCATGATGTGCAGGTCATCCTCTTCCTGCCCAACTTCGTCAAGATGCTGGAGTCCATCACCAATGAGCTGTCTCTCTTCAGCAGGACCCAGGGCCGGCAAGTGTCCAGCCTCAAAGGTGAGTCCCAGGGCTGGGTGTAGCTCAGCATTGGAGCACTGGCTGGGTACGCTTGAGGCCCTTGGTCTGTACCCGCTCCTGCCTCCTGCCTCAGGTAGTGGGATGTTTTGGTAGTGCCACCCAGTGGTGACGGATGGAAAGGCAACTCAGGCTCTAGAGCAGTGGTAGTGAACCTATGGCATGAGTGCTGCAGTAGGGTCTTTGTATCGTTGAAAGCTCTAAAAGGTTTGCCATAACTGCTGTAGAGTCTTGGCAGCGCCCATTCCCATCTCTTGCCCTTCACCCTGTCCTACTTGCTCATTTCACACCTGTTTGTGGGCCAGGCACTGTTCCTGCTGCTGGGGATGTGGCAGCACATGTCTAAAATCCACCCTCTGTGGTGGTCAGGAGAGAGCCATGCTGGAGGGCTTGGGGAGGAGGGCTGGCAGAGAGTCAGCCCGGAGGTGATGTGCTGGTGCAGCCCAGTTCCCCTGAGGGCAGGTGGTTGGATTCGGGGTGTAAGAAGCTGCTGCCGTGGACTGGAGCTCATGGTGGCTGTGCCCAAAGTATGGACACGGCTGGGTCCTGAGTCAGTTCTGCCATCAGCACGTTGGGTGTCGAGAGAGAAGGGGGCTGAGAATGGTGCAGGGTTCAGTCTAAGGAGCTGTGGTGCTGTCACTGGGGCTGACCCAGGAGGGGCAGTGGGAAGATCAGAACCTCGATTGTGGTGGTGTTGGGTACAGTGTGGAGAACCAGGCGGCCTGGGCTATGTGTGTAGAAGTCAGGGGCTGAGAGCCCAGCCAAGGAGGGCGGGAGAGAAGCTCCTGAAAGCCAGGTGACAGAGGAGCGTGTGACGGCTGTATCACAAGCCACTCTAGGCCAAGTTGGTGGGGAGGTTGGCCCTGCCTTAGTAGCATGTGCCTTTGGTGACCCTGACAAGGCCGTCATGTGGGCAGAGTGTGGCAGGACCGGGTGTGAGAGTTGGGGAGAAGACTGGAAAGACAGCAGTGTGCACAGAGGCCTGGCCAGCAGCTCAGGCCCCTTGTGGGCACACAGAAGATACCTGATGGCTCCCCAGCCCTGACTCCATGTACTGGCAAGCACTGAGCGAAGAGTCTAGTTTGTGTGTGAGGAAGAACAGCGCTGCAGGCTGGGAGCTGGTGCCTCTTCACGGACAGCTCCTTGGCCTTTCCAAAGGGCTGCCTGTCCCGCCGGCTGTGCGAGTCCGATCAGGGTGATGACCTTGGCTGTGGCCTGAGCCCTGCTCTCTTGGGTTGCCCCAGACAGCTTGCTGAGACCCCTGTTCCTATGCTGTTCAGGGCTCCTTGAACAAGCACAGGAGCCCTGTAACAGCTGGCTGGCTGTTTCTCTGCATTCCCAGGGGCTAGGGAGCAGGCTGGAGAGGGCAGGATGCTAGAGTAGTCAGCTAAGCTCGTGTGCAGTCACTGCTCACTATCATAGTCCCACCACTCCCCTTTCTTCTGGACTCTGAGCAGTCTTTGCTGTGAGGGTGACCCCACAGTAGACCCAGCCTTCCAGAATTTGTGATGCCCCTCGGGTTGGTCAGATGTGGGTTCTGCCTTCAAGGTGGAAGGGTGCAGGACTTGTCCCTCGGCAGCCTGGGAACCCCATAAGGGCAGTGGCCTCAGTCTGACTAGGCTTGGAACCCTTGGGCCCGCACCTGGCCCAGCCTGGAGCGGGCATCTGCGTGCTATCTGGGCCCCAAGCTCTGTTCTGCATCCTGGTCTCTGCTCCGGGTTCTACACAGCACCCTTTCCTCCGCAGATCTGCCCGCCAGCCCTGTGGACCTGGTCATCAACTGCTTGGATTGCCCTGAGAATGCCTTCCTGCGGGATCAACCCTGGTACAAGGCAGCAGTGGCTTGGGCCAACCAGAACCGGGCACCAGTGCTCAGCATAGACCCTCCTGTGCACGAAGTCGAGCAGGGCATTGATGCCAAGTGGTCCCTGGCACTGGGCCTCCCCCTGCCACTTGGGGAGCACGCAGGTCGTGTCTATCTGTGTGACATCGGCATCCCCCAACAGGTCTTCCAGGAGGTGGGCATCAGCTACCACTCGCCCTTTGGCTGCAAGTTTGTCATTCCCCTGCACTCTGCCTAGAGCCCTGCTATCAGCCGATGATGGACGCCTTAAGGATGTGAAGCTTCATGGGCCTTGCTGTACAGTTTTTCTGTTTTGGGTTGGTTTCCTTCTGTGAGATAACAAAACACAATGAAAACTGGCCTGTTGCCTGGCAGTGGCTGAGCACCAGGTACCTCTGCCCCTCGGGGTTTGTTTACAGACTCAGGCAGTTCTGACTGTTCAGGGTTACAGTGCAGGTGGCAGTGCCTTGGAGAACTGGGCCTCTGTACCTACACTGCTGGCTGTGGACTTGTCCCCTGCTTGCCCAGCCGTAGCCCTTCATCGTCATGTGATGGTCACGTGCCACCTGTCACAGCAGAGGGTAGTCACGAGGGGCTGTTGTCTTTCTCCTGAGCCAAGCCAGGTATTGTGCTGGGTTTTTCTAGGTCTTTCTATCCCACCTCTGTGAGAGGCAGGAGACAGGGGCTTAGAATGGTTGCACCATAGTGGGGTCTGTTGGCTGTCTGTGGTCTTCGGCGCAGCTCATACGAGGTTATGTTACTGGGGAACCACAGTGCCCATATTGCCAGCAGTGCCCACCCTGGCTGGTGGGTGTCTTTGTTGAGTCAGGCCAAACGGCTCGGTGCAGCTTTAAGGTCCAGGGTTGGGGAGGCCTGGGGCAGCCTGGTGCTGCATGAGGCAGCTCCTGGTGCTTGTTCTAACCTGTCCCCCCATCATGCACACACAGCCCACTCTTCCATCCCTTCTGCCTGTCCCTCAAAATGCTCCCCCATAGCTACCATCCTAGAGCAGGGGTGTATCCCTCTTTCCTAGGCTCCTCCCCAGCGTTTCGGTCTGGACTTGGCTCTTCTGGTTGTCACTCTTGGTATGTAGGCTTGGGGCAGCAGCTTGTGTCAGAGATGCCCAAAAAAGGCCTGGCCCCAGGTGAGCCCATTGGTGGGCAGCTCGTCGTCGGATCCCGGAGGCCCAGCCCCAGGACCTACCTGGACCGGTACTGGAAGCAGGTGGAACAGGGCCAATCCTGGAGCCCTGGGATGTGTGTGTGTGAGGGTGGGACATGCAAGTACATAGGACTTCAGGCTCCTTTTGTTTTGCCCAGAGTGGCTGAGGGGAGGTTGGGAGGGAGGGTGGGTGGGTTGGGGCAGGGATGGGCTAGCCGAGGATTGTGGTCACAAGGCTGTGATGCTGCCCACTGGCAGAGTCTGGAACAGATGCAGAGGGCTGGTCCCTCCCCTCTGATCATTCCTCCACAGTGTGGTCTCTAGCAGTGGGAGGAGGCCAGGGGCCAGTGTGCCTTGCTGTGCCTGTACCCACTCTCAGGGCCAGGCAGCTCTCAGGCCAGGCCCCTTTCTCCACAGGCAGGGCTACAGTCTGGGATGCCAGGTAACAGGCACTAGCAGGCAGTCATCGTAGGGCCTGGACTTACAGGTCTCCTGTTGGTTGTGATGACCTAGAACCCTGGTCTGACGACTGGTAGTGCCAGTGCACTGTCCCTGGGTGATGGCCTTGTTGAGACCACTAGGAGTTTGTGCCCAAGCCTCTTTTCTCCCCAGGTGGCAAGGGGACCTCCTTGCCTTCAGTCTTGGCTTCCCGAGATATTAAGATGGGCACAGTTCCCTCTCCCTTCTGTTCCTCTCAGAAGCTTCCTGGCCAGGCCCCAAGAGGTTCTGACAGGTAACCAAGCCTGACATTTGTGCAGCTCTTGGGAAACCAAAACCAGCACTACAATAAAGTTGAACAAGCAAGTTCTGTGCTATGTGAGCTGCTCTGTGGGTGGTGACGGGGTGCAACTTCCCATCAGGAGCCACCCTATCTGGCTGCACCTCAGTGGACCCCAGTACCTTGGATGCCAACATCTTGCAGGACAATTAACAACCCCACCTGAAGCTGTGTGCCACTGGGCCTGGGGCTGCCCCAGCATGGGTCACCACCTCGCTTACCCTCTGTGCTTGGCCAGTCCACAGGTAGCTATCCACAGGCTGAGCTGCTAATTAGACTTTATTAGTAAGGTCAGGAGCCTGGAGATGGACACACTGGTACCAGGGGTTACAAACAGTAAGAAACATTTTATTATAACTTTACAACATATAAATAGCTCGGGTCAAATCTGTGCTTTCTGGCAGCTGGGTGTCCTGCAGCTCCTGCCTTCCTTCACATTGCACTGTTCATTGGTGGCTCTGGCCTTGAGGCCGGTGGCAGAGGCTGGAGAAAGGAGCCCAGTCCTCCTCCCCCTCCTGGTGTGCAGGCCGCTCCTGTCATCTGCTGGGGTTTCGGCTGGTGTGGAAGCACCGCTCCTCGGGGGTGAGGCCCGAGAAGAAAGGGTGCAGCAGGGCCTCTGCCAGTGTGATGCGTTGTGCAGGGTCGAATTCTAACATCCTCCGCATCAGGTCGAACAGCTGCACGTGCTCCAGTGAATCTTGGAGCATGTAACTCTGCTCAGGGACATAAGGTGTCTGCTGTGATGGTGGGTGGTGGGAGCTACTCCAGTCCCCTCGCTGCTAGGAGGCCTTGCCAAACCTGAGTCCTCCTGGGAGGACTCTACTTCTGCTCTCTGGGACAACAGCAGCTCCATTCCTTCCACACCTGAGCTCTAATGTTCACTTGAAACCTAGGCTACTGGGTATCTTGATGGGCTGTCACCTCTACCCCACATGCAAATGCAAAGTCCTGACCAGTGGATAGAAACCACCTCTGCAGACCCACTTGTCCAGCGTGGCAAGTGCAGTTCCTGGCCAGGTTTAGGTCACCCTTCCCCCTCGCCTCAGTCCTGCCTACGTGTCCCCAAAATTGAGAGGAGAATAGGAAGCAGCAGTCTCTTAGAGGCACCAGGCTCCTCTGGTACTCCCCAATTAAGTTCTTGGCCACCCAGTAGGCCAAGGGGTTGTGCTAAGGGCCCCTTGGGGAGGCTGCAGGAAGCCACCAATGCCAGATGCTGACCCCGAGCTGGAGTGCAAAAGCATCTGCCCAGTGCCTGAGGTCTCTTCAGCATGAGGTGAGCCAGGGGAAGCCAGAAACTGACCTTCAGAGGTTTGCAGTTCTCCTTCACATACCGGCCATCTGAGCTGTTCTCATCCCAAACCAGGCCCCCTTTGTAGAAATATTTCTGCTTCCTGAAATTCAGGGGGGTGGGGTGTCAAGTGGTAGAAGTAGAGGTGCCAGGACCATGGGAGGGTGGGTCTGGTACCTGTGGCCCACTGCCTGCTACAGCCCAAGGGAGCGAGCATCCTCACCTGGTGCGGTGAATCATGTGTGATGGGATGGGGCCCAGAATCTTCTCCATCATCACCAAGTGCTCTCGGTTTTCGTGGGTCTGCAGAAGGCCAGGACAGAACAGACAGGACAGGTCATCCTCCCCCAAGAGGCACAAACCTGCCACTGTAAGGCAGGTGCCAGCCCTGTCCCCAGGCCATGGCCAGTCCTTGTCACCTTACTCTGCCCTTGCTAGAACTCACTCCCACCCAATCTCCTTTCCTTGCCACCCAAGAGGAAGATGCCTCCCTTTTCTTGCACCAGGAGAGGCAGCGCAGCGTACCTGGAAGAGTGTGAAGCCGCGGTAGTACTCAAAGAGGATACAGCCGATGCTCCAGACGTCGCAGGGCTGTGCCCAGCCCAGCTCTGCAAGCCGAGGGAGGGGTGGTAAGACCTGGCCTGACAGGGATGCCACCCCGCTTCTGCTCGTGTCCCCACAGCTGCTCTGTGTGACACGGCTGGCGGGGCCTCACTCACCCAGGATGACCTCGGGTGGGCGGTAGTGCCGGGTGGCCACGATGGTTGTGTGATGCTCATGGTCAAATGTGGCACTGCCAAAGTCGGCCACTCGGATGCTGGTGTTCTTCACCGACTTCTCCTCACAGCTCTAAAAGGCAGGGTGGCTGGCCGGGTGAGCCTGTATCCAGAGTGCCCACCCTGGGGCTGGGTGCACCCTCCCCACTGTGCCCTACCTTATGCTCATTGTAGAGGGTTTCGAACTCCGAGTTCACGAACAGGATGTTCTCTGGCTTCAAGTCTGTGTGGGTCAACTGGTTCTCATGTAGAACTGGGAGTGGAGGAAGAGGGAGGCAGGCTGAGACCCTAGTCCTCTGCTCTAGCAGAGAGCCAGATCAAAACTAGCCTTTTGCTAGCTTCCCTCTCAAGAGCTTGAGGATCCTGCCTTTAGAAGGACCAAGGAAGCTAGGGCGCACACATGTAATCTCAGCATGCAGGGAGGCTGAGACAGGAAAATAACAAGTTAGTCCTGCCAGGGCAACTTAGCAAGACCCTGTCTCAAACAGTTCTAAAAATGGTTGGGTTTGATCCCAGTACCAGGAAGAAAAAAAGGCTTGAGACAGGAGAGGGAGGTTTCTCTTCCAAAACACTTTCCTCCACCTCGCCTGTACAGAGTCTAGGCCTTCTTGCTGGACTCCACCACAGCCCAGCACCAGAAGCAGAATTTTTGGGCCCATTTAAAATGAAAGCAAACTCTTCTTGTTCAAGCCAGGGCAGCCTCCCGCCTGCCCGTGTCCCACTAACAGTGGTTTCCTGCCATTAGCATTTGCAGCTCGGGGCTCCCACTGGGCACCACAGACCCTCCAGTGTGTGGCCTGGGCCCCACACAAGCCCTCACTTCCCAAATTTCAGCAGGGCCAGGCCTTCAGAGCTGCCCCTCAAACTTGTGGGTCCTTTTCCCTGCCACCTCTGCAGACCCCACACATCCAAGCTTTGCATCCATCATCCTCCTCTCCAGGGACCTCTCCTCACTATCTTAGCGGTCACAAACCTAACAGGGCCAAGCACTGATGCCACCAAATCTGCCCTTTGAGGCTGGCAGGCATATGAGTGATAGACATTGGGTCTGGTAGACAGTTTCTATGGGGGACCTGGACATAGCTCCAGCTTCTGTCCTCTTTGTGAAGGTGGGAGGCAGGAGCTGTGTCAGCCCTAGAGCCCCTTTCTGGTTCCTGAGGGCCCAAAGGTCCCCCTTCTTCTGCCCTCCCCTGCAAGAGTCCTACCCAGAATGAGGCTTCAGAGCATTGGGCCACCCCATGCCTGTGCACACTTACACCTGAGGGCGTGGCAGAGCTGGTAGGCCATGTGCCGGACATGGGGGAGGGGGTAAGGCTGGAAGTTGTTCTCCTTCAGGAACTCGAAGGTGTTCTTGCCCAGGAGCTCAAAGGCGATGCACATGTGGCCATGGAAGTTGAACCAGTCAGACATCAACACACACAGACTGGAGAGAGAGTGGAGGCTTAGGCTGTGCTGGGGGCCACCACCCCTTGCAGCCACGCACCCTGGTGCTCAGACACATGGAGAAAACAGTTGGACAGGGTCCCTGCTGCAGGGGCCCAGGGGTTCCAGGCCCAGTGCATCCACTGCAGATGGGGAGGAGCCCAGCACACAGGATGCCCCTGGCAGGCTGAGGCAGCGCTGGGGAGAGGTGAGTTGGGTATCTGTCCTGGAGGTGCCCTTTAGGCGGAGTCCTCCCCAGTGTGGGGCTGGGCCTGCTTCATTCCCTGTCTCAGGACACAGCTGTGAGGTGGAACAGGACTGACACATGGAGGCCCTGAAGCAAGCTTGCTTGCCCACCAGCTAGGGCTGGCACAGTTTGTGCCCTGTAGATTTCCCTCCCTCCCCTGTAGACTCACAACTTGTTTTCCTTGTCCTTCTCCTTGATTTTCTTGAGGACGTTGATTTCCAGCCGGGCGGCCTCCCGGTACTTGCCCACGTTGCGGATGATCTTCAGGGCGACCTGGGATTTCCCTCTAGGACCCAGTAAGGAAACACAAGTTCTCAGCAGCTGGCCAGCTCTGCCCAACCTCTACCCCAACTCCAAGACCCTGACACAGCAGAAGAGGCCTGCCCTGGGGAGAGTGACCCTGAGGACCAGGCATGCCTGGCCTCTGCCCACCAGCATCAAGCTGTCCTCCTGCCTCAGCCTGCTGTAGTACAGGCTTAGGCCTTTCTGCCTCCAGCAGGGCGAAGGAAGACGACCAGGGGCTCATCCTGTAGGCCAGGCAGCCCTCCTGCCCAGCATGTCCATAGGCCAGAGAGCTGGAGCAGAGGCCAGGGAGAGCTCAGGTGCCAGGAGTGGGGTCTCCCCAGCAAGGCCACACCACCCTCTTCACCACAGCTCTCTCCAACCCCCCTCTTCCTTCCCCAGCTGGCCAACTGGCATGGGGACTGGAGGAAGACACCCTACTAGGCTCTGCCCTCCAAACCACCTCTGCAGCTCCGCAGTCCACAATGCAGGACGCATCTCATTCAGAGTAGTCCTACAGGCCTGCGGGCTCACTGCTTAGTTCTGCCTTGTGAAGCAGCCCTGCATGCTCCCTCTGCACCCCCTCAAGGCTCCCTGGAGTCTGTACCTACGTCCTAGTGACCTCCAGCTACTCAGAGTGGCAGAGCCACACAGCCTGGCTGCCATGTACCACACAGTTCTTGGGTCTGTCACTATACAGTTATCTCTATGCCCACTGGTCCTGGCCTTAACCTTCCAGGCCACGCTGGGTCCAAGAAACAGGCCTGGGATATAGCTCAGTGGCACAAGCACCTGCCTGGGGAGGTGAACTGGGAGAAGAATTGGGCGCTGGGGTAAAGGAAAGTCCACTGCTTTATCTTGTGGCTCTGGGAATGGCTGACTCCCAGAACCAACTGTCCTTTGTAAGCAGCCCTTTTAATGTGGGAGTCCATAGTACTCAACTCTACCACAATACAGGTGTGATTGAAAAATATAGTATGTGTTTAAATTATAGAAAATTACAGTGAAAGACACATTGCCATGAATCCTCTCAAAGCAGTTATGGAAGTCCTGTCATGAATGTCTTTGTCCTGTCCTGGCTGCCCCCATGTCCTGAACTGATTTAAACATTTCCCTTTCATGGTTATTCTGACTTTGGGGAAACAACTAGAAGTTACATGGTGCCATATCTGGTGAGTAAGGTGGTTGAAGATGCACGGTGATGTTTTTATGAGGCTGTCTTTCCACTGGATGGGGCCCAGGAGCAGCATGCACTGTGTTTCTGCATTCTTTTTTTGGAGTGGGTACCAGGAATTGAACTCAGGACCTTGCACTTGCCAGGCAGGTGCTTGTGCCACTGAGCTATATACCCCACCTGTGTTTCCGATTACACCTCAGAACTACACCACACGGGGAAAAAATACACCAAAAAGCATTTCCAATAATGGGATGTGTTCTGAGTGGGGTGTGGGGGGCACTTTAAAAGAAATTAATGACAGTGTATTTTTACTATGAATTTCTTTCTCACATAAAATATGTAGTTTTGGACCATACCCTGTGGTTAAGATGTAGTGGGCAAATCCTTAGCATTTCTTTTGATCTCTAAAATACTGGTCAGCTAGCCATGTATGGTGGCACATGCCTATAATCCCAGCACTTGGGAGGCTGAGGCAAGATGATCTCCACCAGTCTTGAGGCCAGCCTGGGCTACACAGTGAGTTCAAGGCTACCCTAAACTACCATGAGACCCTGTCTCCAAAAAATAAAATAAAATAATGGCCATCAGGGTGCACTGCTCAAATGAGAAGCCTGGCACTGTGTAGCTAAAGCACCGAACTGTTTATAGAGGGCCACTGAGGCAGGGGGTTCAGGTAGAGGTGAGCAGTCTTAACAAAGCACTGAGGGGACACAAGTGCTGCCCTGTTGGGCCCAGGATGGAGCACGGTGCCCACTCACAGTAATATGCAAGGCATGGCAGGAGACCCTGGCCCTGAGGATGTGAAGGTTTCTCAGCTGGGACTACAGGTGGGCTGTGAGGTCCAGCCCAGCCCTCTATAGGCCAGAACCTAAAAGCGCTCACAGAAAGCAGCGCCAGGCCCTGGGGAAGTAGGACCATGGGGCGGAGCCACTCACTGAGCAGCAGCGCCCAGGGAGGAACTTCACACACCCAAGGATCCCACAAATTCCCTGCTTAGTTCAGATCAGCAAAGCCCAGTATGTGGAGATCAGCGCCTACTCTTCTCAGAGGAGTAGGCCCACACCAGCCCTACCCTGCCTGCTCACCTGGCGTGGTCCAGGCACTCCACCACCTTGCCAAAGGTGCCTTCGCCCAGGTTGCCCACGATCTCATCTACGAGAGAGAAGAGGCTAGGCATGAGAGTCTGGACAGCAGTGGGGTGGCAGCTCCTGCAAGTCCACAGCATTCAAATTCTCAGAAACAAAAAAGGCTTCTTTCTCACTGCTACACTCTTAAAAACAAGTTGCTAGCATCTGTGTCATTCAGGCAATTACTCGTGGCCCCGCTAAGGCGCCACACACACTAGAGGTCCCTCCAGGCGGGAGAGGTCTTGTCTAACAAGGGGAAGTAGGAAGTAGAGGTAAAGTTTTACGAAAGGTGGCTGTACATCGCTCTTGGAGCCAATCGCCGATCCGGCACACCAGGTGACCCTCCTTGTCATCTTCCACACTCCGGCTGCTGCGCTTACTGCTCTGTTGGCTTCTCTGCATGCACCGCCCCCCGAAACGCCATCCGACCAATCGCATGGTAGGCGGTTCCGATTGACAGATTGAAGTGTCAGTCAAAGGCAGAGGTGGAGACGGTGCGGAGCCGGTGGGTTGGTTGGTTGGATTTTCCAGATGCCAGCATTTCATAAGGCACACAGCATATATAACGATAGGGATATTGCAAGGGACACGTCAAGACACAAGCTGACTTCAAAAACAGAAAAGTAAAACAGCTACAGGTACGTAAAGAAACTGGGATTTTTATCTCAAAGAGCTGAGCACTAAGCGCGTGGAAAGATGCCAGCCTTGCCGCCGAGGGGCCAAGCCCTGAGGACAGGTGCGGCCCTGACTCCCTCCTCTTTCAGGTGTCCCCCGCCCGGACCCTCCCGCAGTGGCTCTGGCCAGAGCTGGAGATGTAGTAAGGAGGGTCGGCGCAAGAAGACGGCCAGCCAGGCCCAGTCCAACCACAGCCTGGTCGGAGGGCCACCCAGTGTCAGTTGCAAACAACGCCTGGCTATCCTGCCTGTCTCTGCCTGCCTCCGCTAGCCCTTGCAGCCCTGTCCAGGCCGACGCTGCCACACGGAGCTACACTGCTGCCTGCCCCAGACAGCAGTAACCACAATGCAGCAACAGCCTGCCATGGCCAGCCCGCCTGTACGAGTTGTGAACAGGAAACTACCACAGCGAGCCACAAAGGCTGGGCCACCTCCGACCCTGGCCCTCATTCGGCTCACAGGCCAGGAACACTCTAAGCCTCACAACAACACAGGGCACCAAAAAGAAAAGCAGAGCCACAGACTTGCACTGCTGTCCCGCAGCGGCACGTGGTGCTGCACAGAAGCCATGAGGCCGTGCTGGACTCACCCACGGGGAGGAAACTTGAACCCACAGCAACTCAAAGACATCAGAGAGCGAGCTCGGCAGAGAAAACACTGGCCCCCACTGGTCCCACCACGGCCCCCATATTGGGAGGAGGTGGGGAAGAGGGATGGGGCGAAGGGGAGAGGACAGCTCGAACTCCAGAGACAGCAGGCTTTCCTTCCTTAGGGCACTGTGCAGTGTGGGCTCCTGGGTCAGCAGACGTTTGTATGGCCCTCCATGCTAGGAAGCTGGCCAGGCCCCGCTCTTGGTGTGGCCTGTGACAAGACCCAGGCTGCCAGCCTTTGTATCGTTTCCTCCACTGCCCTGCCACAAAGGCCCTCTGGTCAAGTGACATAAGAAGACCTAGCTGGAGGTTGCAAGTGAAGCTCCCGGTCTGAGCTGCCTGACAGAACGCAGTGGTGCACACCCTTAGTCCCTGCTCCTCAGAAGGCTCTGGTAAGAGGACTGGTGGCACCTAAGAATTTGAGACCAGTCAGGGCAAAGTAGCCAGACCCGCATATAAAAAACCGAAAACCAAAAAGGGCTGGGGATGTAGCTCAACGGTAAAGCACTTGATTAGCAAGCCCAAGGCTCTGGGTTCAATCACCAGTGCCACCAAAACAAAACAAAACAAGAGCTGACGAGTAGATGCTGCCCCCCACCCTGGAGATACTGCAGTTGCCTCTGTGCAAAGACAGGGAGAAGAGGCCTCAGAGGCGGCTGTGGTCCACACCTGGCACGGCACTCACTACACAGCGTAGCCTCAGGAGAGAGGGCGAGGCCGCGCAGTCCAGGTCACACCAACAACCCCACCGGGTCCCCAAGAAGCACCCTGCCACCTGCACCACACAGCCTGTGTCTGGAGCCGTGTGGAGACACAGACAGGCTGGGGACCAGCCAGCGCCGGAGCCAGAGCCCCAAAGTTGCCACAGGCAAGGGGCGAGGGGACAAAGAGCCAGGTGTCCTGCCCAGCCCTGCACCTGGACCAGATGACACACGCACACTGCACACACACACATGCACACACTTGTGCAGGCGCAGCAGCGCGGCCAGGCTGGTGTACTCACCAGACCAGCCCACCTGAGAGAGGCTAAAAGACAGGCCTTGGGCCTAACCAGCACACTTTGGCCACCACTCACCGAGGAGGCGCTGCTACAAGACCTGGTGCGGCGTTTGTGGCAGTGGTGGGTGTGCTTTCGGGTCCGGTACGGCCCCCTCTCCCGTGACCGCCGCCGATGACGGGAGCGTGAGGATCCATAGCAGTCCTCGCCAAACGATGGGCTCCGCTCTTCGCAGCGGTATGCATCACTGTCGCGGTGCTCCCGGTATCTCCTCTGGTAGGGTAGGCGGTCATGGCTACCAAGAGGGGCATGGGGACATCAGTCAGGTGGAATCCTTGTTCCCACCAGTCAAAGCCCTGTGCTAGGGCCTTGCAAAGGGCTCTCGGGGAAAGCCTGTCAGTACAGGGGAGGGGGCAGCAGGCAGGGCCAAGGCCAGCTCTCCAGTGCCATAGGTGGGTGCACAAGTGAGCATGGCAAGGGCCTCTGGGACACCAACACCTGGTAGCTGCCCGGGACCTGTTAGGGCCTGGGATGGAGCCTAGTATTTCCAAGGCAGAGCCTCCATTTCTAATTCCCACCTGGAAAGGGCAATGCTGACCTAGAAAATGAGGCAACGAGCAGGGAGAAGAGGAAGAGGTGGTGTGCTGTGCCTGAGAGTGCACGTGTGACGGTGTGAGAGCCCATGAGGCCAAGCAGGGCTCCAGGGTGCCAGATAGAAGTGGGGTCACCTTGGGGAGCCTAGGACCTCCCAAGGCTAGAACAACCTCACCCCTCCTTGTCCCCCCTCCAGTGCCACTCACCTCCGGGACCGGGACCTCCTTGGGGGAGGCTCCCTGCGGGATGGGTATCGCAGTCTCCCTTCGTGTTCCCGCTCCCGGCTGTACGACCGTCGCCGCTTCCAGCGGTAGCTCAGGTACTGGTCCGGCTCGGGGGAGCGGTATCGCTTACAGTGGTGCATCTAGGCCAGGAGGAGGAGAGCCCAGCTCAGCACAGCCCACGCTCTGCCAGGGGCTGCACAGGCACCAGGGCTCCCAGAAGAGACCCAGTTCTGTTTGGGGGTAGCCCCTCCCCAGGGCTTTATGAAGCAACCAAGAACTCTGAGGTCACAATGGCTCAGCAGCAGACAATGGCAACTTCTTTGCCTGAGGGCCCAAGCACTCAGACAACTGGGTTTCCTGTGCCTAGCTCCCTCCCTGATTATGGGCCCAGAGTCCAAACGTTCTGGGGAGCCTGAGGCAGGCAGAAGGCTGCTGGCACGGAGTGCACAGGAGCCAAGGGCCAAAGCTGTGGCCCCAAACTGTATCCCACCCAAGGGAGAAAGAGCCCAAGTCCAGGTGAGGGGGTAGAGCAGAAATAGAACAGCCCTTAAGAAAGGCACCTGGGATCACCAGCACCCCTTAGCTCACTTGACAGTCTACCCAGGTAGATGTGGACTTGGGGCGCCAGCCTAACCTCCACCAGTCCATCCTGGGTCTCAGCACTCATGCTGGGCCTTCTGTAATGACACACCATGTGCCTTGTCTTTCCCTGTCAAGACCACTACTGTCCCTCTTCCTCCTCTGGCAACCTCTCCCTCCTTTCTCAGGAGTAAGTAGTCAGAAGATAAGCTAGCTGGTAGACTTCTTTCCACAGACAGACAGGACAAAGGGATCCAGGTCATTATCCCTGTCCAGCTGGGACTTATGTCCACTGCAGAAATGACAGGCTGGCTTAGGTAGAGCTGAAAAAGGTGGCTCTGAGGACAGCTCCGGCCCCACCCTGGCCAGACACCTCACTGGCTGGGCCAGACTTGTGGGCAACCCTCTCTCCAAGCCTTCACGGTACATAGCCAGCCTCAGTCCTGGGTGGTCCTGGCCTCGCCTACCAAACCCAGAGGCTGCCCCAACCCACTGGCACAGTCGGGCAGGATGAAAAGGCTCCTGGAGAGTGGACAGGATGCTGAGGAATTCTCTGACCAAGCCTGGGGAGCTTCTCTGGGATCCCAAGAGACACTGCCCTCAAACTCTCCACCAGCATCCCCCAACACACCTGCGAAGTCTGGTCTCTGGCAATCCTTGGAGACAAATGCTGTGTAAAATTAGTGATAGTTTCCCAAGAGCTTAGGTTTGTTATTTTCCTGATCAAATGACTAATATCTCCCTGTTTTCCTGCAATTACACTGGGTCAGGTGCCCAAGCTATGGATGAAAAGCAGTACTATATCTCATCTTGATAATTGACCCGGAGGACGCCCACTGACTGGGGCACGTGCCTTCCCACCAACAAGTGTGCTCCTGCCCGCGTGTGCCGGGCAGATAAACACTAGGTTTGCAGGACACAAGCCAGGCCGCGCCAGGCCAAAGCCTCCCCCCAGGTTGCCAGAAGACTCCATGTCCATATATGTTTACATGAGTGGAAAGTCACAGTTCTGGGGTCAGATGTCAACCTGAATCATGGCTAAGCCACTTCCAGCTGTTTGCCTTTGGGCCAGTTATTAAACTAATCTTCAGCTTCCTCTTCAAGCAAGGGAACAGTAATCTTTTAGGAGGTTTTGTGGGAATTAAATATGTCTGTCCTCTAAACCAAATGCCTGCTCCAGGTCTGGGTCCACAAAATCTACTTAAGACAACTTTTCATTAACAAAACACCTCCAGGTGGTATTTCAGGGCTGCAAGAGATGCCTTCCTATTTTATAAGCTCTTCCCAAGCACTTGGGAGGCCAGAGTTCTCACAGCAAAACCCCATTAAATCCCAGTGGCGACATTTCCTGGCCTTGTAACCCTACACAAGTCACTCTAGGCCTTGGTTACCATGCCTGGAGAACGGAGATAACATCTCCTGGCCTGCAGAGAAGATGGCCAGAATGACAGCCAGAAGGTGCCACACACAGGCAGTGACAGGGGCCCTGTCTCTCCTCTAATACTCCAGGCAAGAGAAACACGGGGAACACCTGTACCCTTCATCATCCCCCCCAGGGGCACCGAGAACGGCCGCGGCCAGCCGGAGGCCTCAGGACACAGACTGTTTACAGAAGCTCAGGGCCACCCTACGTTTGGGAGGCTCCGCTCTGGACAACGTATAAAACAGCCATGCAAAGGAACCCAGGCCACGAATGCCAGCATTTTTCCGAGCACAGGCCCAGCCGGCTTCTTACTTGCTGATCCTGGCCTGAGAACTGGGCTAACGAGAAGAACCACCAGCCAGGTCAGCGCGGCCTCCCGGCTTCCTGCCATCCCGCGCCCTAGGGTTATTTTTGGCAGGCGCTGCCCTCCCCGCACTGCAGCCTCAGACCCGCACCTTGCAGGCTACCGCCGGGCGAAGCACTGCTCCTGCTCAAGGGCACGGGGAGCGGCGCTGGGAGGCTGCCAACCCTGCCTTAGCGGGGCCTGGCACATGAGGCCGGCTCAACTTCCATCAGGGCACCGGAACCAGAGTCCGGCCTCCCGGCCGGGCACTGCAACCATCGGCGTGGCCCGGTCCCCGGCCCGGGGCGGCTCCGTCAGCACAGCACACGGCCGAGGTTGCGGCCTCGCAAGCCTCCCCTCCTCCTGCCCCGAGTGCCAGGGTCACCGCCGCCGGGGGCGCGAGGACAGCCGCGGGCAGGGACGAGGCTGGGCCGCATCCGACCTCGGGCGGCGCCGCGGGCGGGGAGTGAGGGGCCAGGAGCGCTTTCTCCCGCCTGGGTCGAAACGCGAGTCCATCCCGCGGGTACCTCGGGCCGGGGCCGGAGGGCGCTCTCAGGGCCTCGGAGGACGCCCGGGCTCCGCCCCCGACGCCGCAGGTCCCAGAAGCCGGGGTCCGCAGTGACCGCCCTCCGGGGAGAGGCGGCAGGTCAGGGGTGAGAGGTCGGGCCGCGGCCTGAGGTGGGCCAGCGGGGAGAAAGAAAGGAAACAGGCCGGATCCACACTTGGGTCCGGGACCCGGCGCCCACCCGCCCGCTAACTCACCCCAGTTGCCGTCGTCGCCGCGGGCCCCTGCCCACTTACCGTCTCCCAGGCTCGGGCTGCGTCTAGGCCCCGCTCCCCGCTCCACTTCCGCTTCCGGCTCCGGCCTCCGCCCGCCGCGGCCCCGCCCACTCGCATGGCGCAGGCGCCGCCGGCACCCGCGGGACCCATCCCCGCGGCCCGGCCGCTCTATCCCTGGACTCGGAGGCCCTGGAGGACTGACCTCCCTCTCTTGGTCGGCGCCGGAACGGCGGCAGCTTCTTCCGGGAGCACCCCGGGGACGTCCCAGGCCGCAGCACGTCCCCAGCCGTGTCCTTCGAAGTCTGCCGGGCGCGCGTCCCTGGCGGGCTGGGTGCTCGGGGCGGATACCTGGAACCCCATGGACCGCGGGGTTCGTCCCCCTGTGTAGCCACGGCCCCGCCATCCCCGTCCCGCGCGCAGAGAGCCCCGGTGGGGTCGCGGGCACATATGAAGCGTCCCTTGCGGGACCTCTCCAGGCGGGCGCGGGCTTCGAGAGCCCTGCAGCCCCAGGGCGCCCCCGTCCGGCCAGTGCGAAGTCACCGAACTGCTCCCCGCGACTCCCCAGGCCGGGCGGCGCCCAGAGGCGGAGACGTCGGTGTGTTTGGAGGCGTCCCTTTGGCGCGTCTTCGCCCGGGGCCCCTGCAGGACGCGCGCTTAATTGCCCCACGCCACGCCGGAGCCCCTCCAGCCCCCGCCTTCAGCCTGGCTCCGGGAACCCCGGGTTCTCAGCTCTGTGGAGTGCCCCTGCCAAGGTCTGAGACCCGGGCTGTGCCTCGAGTCCTTTGTTCCTGATGTGCCCCCAGACGTCGGGGTCTGGCAGCATGGCCCTAGGGGCGCTTAGTGCCTGCAGATGTCCATCAGCGGCACTGTCCCTACAACATGGACGACAGAGGCCGCCAAACACACTCTCAAGCCGACTCCACCCTGTCTAACCAAAAGCACCCCCCCCAGTAGAGAGTCGGGAGCTGGCTCAGGTGCAGGGGTGAACCCAGCCTGGCTGGGCCTACTCCTAGATCCTGCCTCCTTTAGGGGCTGTCTCAGGAGCCGGAAAATTTTGAAAAGTTCAGGAGACCTGCTGCTCTGCCTGGAACCCAGGGCAGTGGCCACACCAGCGGGATTGCTCTGCCCGGACAGGTAGGAGGACGCTGGTGTCTCCTCCCGCCACATAGGGTTGCCCGATGTTTCCATGGTTGCAGGTTCCTTCCCTACTCCCCCCGCCCCCGACCCCGTTTAGGGAGGAGGTCCTCTGAGATTCCTGTCCTGTCCCATCTGCGCTCTGACGGGGAAAGTTAGGCTTCCCACCGCGGGGACCCAGCAGTCCCTATTTCACTCAGGCGGGAAAGGAGCCCTTGCCCAGCATCTGTCCTCTCCAAACGCGGCAGCCTGGAGGACTTCTACGGGAGTCTACCGTTAGAACTTGTTTCCTTTATCAGGCTGGGTTAGCCCTCCCACTCTCTCCTCCTTACCTCATTCCTGCAGTGCTCCCTGGCGTCAGACCCAGGCTCTTTTCCCAGTCCTCACGGCTGTGCCCAAGTCCTCTCTTGGCTGAGGTCTGCCGCATGGGTCAAGAGCACCAGGCAGATGCCTTGTGTTGCATGTACCTGAACCCTGCAGCTCTCCTGTCCCTCTTCCTATCCCATTTGCTCCTGGGCTCTTGGGACCTGCTGCTTGGTGCCCCCCTAACCCTGCCACCTCAGCACTCTCCTGTCTGTCACATCCTGATTTGCCCTCTCTGGGGACAGCTGACTCGTCCTGGAGTCTTAGCCCCAGGGTAGAAGCCCTGAAAGGCCTTCCTGGGCTCCCCAAAAGGAAGTCAGGCTCGTTTGTGTCCCACAGCTTGTGTCCTTCTCTGGCTCCCCATAACTAGAATTCTGGCCTGTGTCCAACCCAGCTGCCCCACAGAGCGTGAGCCCATGGAGCCAAGCCAGGCACCCCATTTTTGGAGAGTCCCCACTTATACCAGGGAAGAGTGTGCAGTCAAGGTGGAGTTGTGGGTCTGATCCCAGGTTGCATGTGGCATGGGAGCAGGGCCAGGCCTCCTGGCTTGCTTTAGTGTGGCCCTGGACAGTGATGACGTGTGGGGACAACTTGATCAGGAGTCATCGCAGGATCCTGGAGTTGAGACAGAAGATCGGACTGTGCAGGGGCCGAGGCCAAGTGGATGGTGGCGCCACCCTGAAGGGGAAGGGCTGGGGTGGGCAAGGGCAAGTCAAGTGAGGGTGTAGAGGCTGCTCAGGCCAGGCTGTCCGATGCCAGGAACAGCGATGTCGTACAGGTTTCTGGCCCCCAGAGCACAACGTAGCTAACTAGCGGCCCCCAGATACTGCCCTAACCCTGCCCTCTCTAGGCTCCTGCAACAGGACAAGGAGTATTATGTATGGGGGAAGGTCAGCTTTGATGCTAGGAGGCGTTGGTGGGAATGCTAAGTCCTCCCTAGGTCCTCGCATGGCCTGAGCACTCTAGAGCATCTGTCCCATCCCACGCCAGCTGCCTGAGAGGATGGGACAGGTTTATGGCTGGTGAGCAGCAGCTGCTATAGTCAATGTCCCCAGCAGATGGGAGCTGTTGGGAGGGAGAATGTTCAGTGGGGCCGAGGCTGACTGGGGTTTGCCAGAGTCCTAAATCCTGGAGGGAGCACTTTGGGCCAGGCTGGGGTGGCGTGGGTTAAGTACACGTTCAACCCCAGGGCCTGGCTATCTTGGGCACTTCTGGCCACTGGACTGTATCAGTGCACGTGAGCAGGGATTGGCTGGGTCCAGTGGCTGGCTGCAGAAAGCAGGGGGCAGTTGGCAGAGCCAGCCAGGTATCTGCAGGCAGCACCAGCGGCACTAGCAGAGCAGGCCTGGGTGCTGTAGAAGCCGCCATGCAGCTGAGGCTCCGCCAGGCCTGATGTAAGGTGCTGGCTCTGCATCAGGAAGTGAGGCCCCATCATCTCCCCCAGTCTCCCTTGCTTTCTTGCAGTCCCCAGGAGGTCCCCTGAGCAAGCAGGGTCTCCTTGGCAGGATGACAGTGCCATCATGTTCAGGGCTGGTGCCCACACCTGGTATGTCCTCAGGATCTGGGGAATCTAAAGAAGAGGGGGCTGAGTGCCCAACAGGGCTGCCATGGTGAGCAGAGTTCTATGGCTGGCAGCCCTGGAGCTGTGTGGTGGATCTGAGAGGCACAGCTGGGCATGGCTGGAGGCAAAGTGGAGAGAAGAGCTTCCTTAGAAGCCGTCACCTGGGGACAGCAAAGACCCTGGAGAAAGAGGAGGCTGTGCACGACTAGGCTTCTTGGGGACATCACAGGTATCCCTGCGGGCCACCCTGTGACACCCACACCTTTAGTGACCCAGATATGAGCCTGATGATGCTCTGGGGTCCACTGCTCCCTGCCACATCCCACTCCACACCCTATACACATGGTCCCTGCTCTGTCATACCCCAGGGTCTGAGGCCATCAGCAGTTGCAAGGAGAGGTGGTGAGGTGGTGTCAGCCCAGCTGTGGGGGAACATCTGGAGCCTGCAGTGACAGATAAAAGCTATAGCTGTAGGTCCTTATAGACAGCCAGGGCCCAGAGTGTTGGTCACGCCCTACTTCATTGGAGGCTGCAAACCTGGGTAGGCCTGCCTGGTGGGGGGTGCCCCTGCCTGGTATGGCAGAGGACTAGCCTTGCAGCCCGCCCCAGGTGCTCTGGGCATCCCCAGGGGACCCTTCTGACATTTAGGAAGACCCTATGACCATCCAGCCAACTCCCCTCTGGGGCAAGTGGAGAAACTAAGGCCAGAGGGTAGGGAAGAGCTCACTGAGGGCCTGCCAGGACCACTTGGTGTAGTTGGCACTGAGGGTATCCACAGGGTCCCTGGGCCAGGCCTGCAGATCCAGGCACAGAGCTGGGGTGGACACAGGGCCACTATGAACACTGCCCAGGCTCGGGACACAGGTTCCCTGAGGAAGCAGTTGCTGTGGTCACCAGGTGGGTCCAGGTGGCTGGCAGGGCAGCCCCACGAGTGCTGGGCAGTGGCTGAGCCAGGCTGTACCTGCCTGCGCCTGGGGACAGAGACAAGGGAGCCTGGCTCTGTTCCTGGGAGCCTGAGGCTGGGTGAAGGATGCCGGGGACATGGAAAAGAAAGACCAGGAGAGACCACATGGAACAGGGCCTCCCTACAGGTACTGTCCCCATGGCAGTCACAGAACCGGTACCTGTTGCTGGCATGTGAAGATGTGCTTAGGGCTGGGTGCTCGGGGCTCTAGGACATGTGTGTGGGAAAAGGCCTGGGGCTAGTTTGAGCCCCACCCTCTTTGGTACCGGCAGAGCCACCCCTCTGCACTGAGGTGGCCTGGACAGGCCGCCTGGTAGGTAGCTGCTTGGGCCACTACTCAGATGTTCCTGGCTACGCAGGGGTGGGCAGTATCGTGGCCCTGTGGGCAGGAGCTGGGCTGGCCTCTCACAGCTGGGTGAGGGAAACCAGCCCAGAGCCCCAAACCGTCTCAGCCAGAGTCCGACTCCCTCCCCTGGGCGTCAGTGCTTCTGACTGTCACATTCTGGCTCTTTCACGGGGCACTGGGAAGTCCTGTGCCATCCAGTCCCGGCTGAGCCCGACTGCCAGCCCAGAGGTGGTGGGGGAGGGGGGTCATGGCCAGGATATGGGGGTTCTGGGGACCTAGGGGCCATGAGGGAGGCCTCTGTGCCTACCCTCTTCCCAGGTAACCTGTAGGGAGGATGTCTAGCTCAGAAGGAAATCACTGAAAAGGGGTAGGCTGGGGTCCATGCTGTGCCCAGACCACCCTATTTCACCAGCACACTGCAGAAACTTAGGAGGCGGCCCTGCAGACTGCAGTGGCAGAGTGGGCTGGGCCTTCCTAGCTGAGTGCTCTGTCCCCCTTCCCTCGCACTGCCTGCCTTTCTTCCTGCAGGCCAGCTAGTCTCTTCCCCTTCCCAGGATGCCCTAGCTTTATCCCATTCTTCCTTCCCTTCTCTGCCTCCTTTCCTCATG